ACAGCAAAGCCATTTTCTCTTTCTTTTCTAAAAATTCAAACAGGGTATCATCTAACTCTTCTGATAAAGGTTTTCTCCCAGTGAGTAATTTCCACATTTTCTTTTGTTCCCCATGATTATTGGCTAATAAAATTTCTTCTTTATTAATCCACTCTCGAATTCTTTTTCCGTCGATGCCGAAATACCTAAAAGTTCGGTGTATAACAGAACCATTTTCCTTATGCCATTGGATGACTTCCAACTTTTTAGAAACAGTATAAGAGCTGATTTTAGGCATCCTGCTTGTTAGGGATCGCAATAATCTCTAATCTCTGTGAACAAGGGGAATGTTCAGTCTCCACCCCCAAAATATTCTGATTTTTCTTGCCCCTGTAGTACAATTCTAAGAAATGATAATTCCCTTTGACTCCTTATCTCTTTCATTCAATTCCACCCCCTTCCAATTTACATTCTTCTTCCCCTGCTTGGCAAAGGACATTCTTTCTTTTCTGCTCAATCTTTTTACATTCAACTCTCCCACTACACCCTAATTTTTTTTCGCATTCTTATCAGTGAGTGTACATTCCAATCAAGGTGACCTTGACCTACCTACATGCAACTGGGAGGAAATGTTGACCACACATACAGAGGTTGCTTCCCCCTCTCTTCCCATCACACTTAGCAAACACCTGCACTTTAGTTAGCTATCTTCAATTCAGTGATTGTGATTGATTACCTACCTTTTTCTATCACTCATTGTTCTCTTTTACAGTCTAACATTAATCCTCTACCTTAAACACCAGGATAACTATTTTTTATAAATAAAATCCTAAAGAAATTTTTAAAATAAGAACTTATAAATTGTGGTGTAGAGAGAGGAGGGGGGGGGCGTTTTTTGGGTACTGATTGGCAATCTGCATAGATGTGAAACTACAGGGGGGGGGGCGCTTTATCAGTATTTTACAGTACATACTCTTGACTATCATGTGACACAGTTGAGCGCAATATACACATATATTTGATGAAGAAATTAATAATTATATTGATTTGGGTAATGGAAAATGTTTAATTGTTCCTTCTACTATTTTTAGTATTTTTAAATGAAATTTTTTCAAAATAAAATTAAAACAACATAAAAAAAAATTATTCAAAATAATAGCTCAAAATTATTATTTTTTTACTTACTTTAGTAAATATAAAATTTTCCTGCACATTCTCAAGAAATTCCATATTTTATAACAATTGTTAAATTTTTTTTCATTTTCTCAAAAAAGTTCTTTTTTTAACTTAATTTATTCATAATTCATAACCTCAGCTAACATACTCAAAGAACAATTAAAATTTAACTCTATTTGTCAGTTTAAGACTATTTCTTAAGTACTTTATTAAGTCCTCATTGGAAATATTTGTTCTCGTGAAACACTTGCACAAGTTGCATTAATTGTTTCAAAATAATTTATTTCTAAATACCAGGTTAAGAAAACAAGGTGCAAGAATTTCACGCTATACTTCTCTTCTAGACACTTCTTGTTTGACACTGAAATCTGATAAAAACTCCTGCCTTATCTACTTGAAAAACGTTTCTTGTCTAACCCGATTTTCATACTTTATTTTTTCTGACCTTCAGAAATTGCAAGTTTTGTTTTGAAGTATTTTTAGGATGTAAATAAATACTTGTGATATTCATGTATATATTTTTTTTAAGATTTGAATCGTATGCTAGCTCCTGCTCTATCTCCAACCTTTAAATTCATTATGTCACAGAATCATCTTTCATGGACGTAAAGTGTCGCCCCCTCACCATTGGTCTTTAAATATTATTATTTTTAAAATTCTTTTTCTATTATTCGAATACCTTCTTTAAGGAAACGTTACAATTTGAAAGCTTCCAGTGGAATTTTTGTTAGCATGTAGAGGTCTATATTTTATGTAGTTGAGATTTTCTCAAGACATTTTCTTTTTACAGAAGTTAGTTTGTGTAAGGAAAATAGAAATTTAATATTTAACCTTAAACATTACATATGCTATGCTTTATGACATATAACTAATTATATTTACACTTATACGTAAGTGAAATTTTTTTACTTTTTTGTTTTGACACAGGCTTTTTTCAGGTTTTTGACACTGGTTTCATGACTGCTTTATCCGTAGTTATAGCCACCAAAAACTGACTTATGTCAAAAACTGGCCAGCCATGATTTGTTATCAAATTTTCTCAAGGCCATAAAAATTAAGACTCAGTTAATAAAAAGATGTGTACGTATACAAAACCAGTTTTGTTTGTTTGTAACAATGGTTTTCATTAACATTTTTCCTTTTGCTTTACCAAAAGTATTTTTTTTTCATGAGTTTTTTAAAATCTTTTTAGCACACTCTACATGGTAAGTTTTTAAATCTAAATGCTTAATTTGATAGTGGATTTGTTTTTATGTGCTTAAGGAAAATTAATCAAAATTCTAGTTATCTTGTAAAATAAATATTTTTTTATTATCTTTTACTTATATTTTTAAGTTAAGAAGTGATTTTCAATTTTCTGCTAAATTACGTGGGATAGTCCAACTTGTCAGTACATTTTGTATTTTATTACATTTTTTTTCTGGCAAAAACACTCAGTCTTATGTCAGTGATGTAATCTCTGTTCACATTTATATTGTCTTAACACTGTTTACTTTTATTAATTATGATATAGTTTAGAATCTTTGTTTCCTTTCAATTTAACTGGTTCCTTAACATCTGTCTACTAGGGGGTTATCTCCAAATAAATGCAGGTTCCTTCACCTTAATGTTATCTAAAAACATTTTCTTTAGTTCTTGTTCTTTTTTTCAATTTTGTGTTAATGCATAGTTTTTAGCATTGTTTAATTTTTGCTACCTGGAATAAACAATGTAGTAGTTTTTTTTCCTTTTGAGTTTATGTAATTTGATAGTATATGAGAACACTATTTTATGAGTTTCAATCAAAACTCATACATTACCATTGAATGTTCACTTGATATTGCTTTGCAGAAAAAATGAGTTAAACCTGCAATGACAAATGTATTTTGACCCATAAAATAGGTTTAAATAGAAGCTAGCAAACTTAGAGAGCTTGGTGTATATATAAATAAATATTGTATTCATGCCTATTAGGTGGACTGAAATAAAGGTTTTAAAAGACTCATTTGTTGAAATAAACGCAGGCTATCTATAAAAAATGCATATTGGTTTTATTTAAACTGCTGTTAGATTTTGGAAATCTTTTAAAATTATTATTTGTAAAACATATTTTTATAGTAACTTTATTTTTATTAATAAATTTTCTAACTATTTTTATTTTCAAGGATAATTGCAATAAAAAGAAAAACGCGTATGTGTGTTCTGTATGTATTGTGTAACCCTGTGGCAGAATTTCTTCGAGCTATCTGCGATAAAACTGTCTAGCACTAATATCTTTCTGCAAGATACTTTTAATAATAACAAACATACGTTACTAATTTAAAATAACTTAAGCGCTGTGTTTCCAAAAAAACTAATTTTTTTTATTTGAATGTGTAAATTTTTTTATTCTTATATTATGGGGGATATTCTCGTATTTTGTTGGAAGGGGGGGGGGAGAGGGTGGTGCCGCACAAATTATTTCCTTCTTTGCATTTTGTCAAATCAATCAATCCCAATAAAAATAAATAAAAATAATGTAATCTGTTATCGAAAAAAAGATTGATGATGAAATCATGCGAATTGGACTCCTCAAAAAAGGGTTACTCAAATGCATAATAAAAAATTGTAATATCGTATGAAAAATATCAGATATAAAAACTGTTGAGAAATCAATAGCCGCCAAAAATTAGATAAAATTATTGCCTTAAAAAGTAAGTACTCAAATGCACGATTCGAATTTTCCATATTGTGTGAAATATATCGAGATATTTAAAAACCGTGTGAAAATCAATGTCAGTAACTGCCGAAAATACAATCAAAACATTACATTGATTAACCATAGTATCGACGTTAATTAAGCCAATCAAAACGTTATCTAAATGCATGGTTCAAATATTAATGTGTAAGTTTCTGTAGACAAGAAAACTGAACTTTTTTACTTTTCAGAAGAAAAATCTTTCTGCAAGAACTCTAACATTCAGCGACAATGTCGCTGTGTTACTGCAATTCTGCCACGGGGTTGCGTATGAATTTGAAACATTTTGATTTAATGATATTTCAAAACTTATGCATTGCTTTCTTCATTAAAAGGTTCATTTAAATGATTAGTTAAATAAAATGTTGCAGTGCATTTTTTCTACTGCATGAGAGATGTAGTTTGTGATAATTGACTCATAGAGCAACTACTGAGAGTTAATTGATTAGAAATATACAAAATAGTAAAATATAGTGANTTCTTGAGTTATCGCGATTTTTGTGAATTTTCCTTAATTTATGATAACCAGTGTAGTTTGTGATAATTGAATCATAGAGTAACTACTGAGAGTTAATTGATTAGAAATATACAAAATAGTAAAATATAGTGAAAAAAAATTAAGTAAAACTAAATCATTCTAAAATAATTTTTTAAAATTTATTTAAATTTTTTTTTTAAAGAATGAATCTTAGATGATGCATAATAAACTAAGTTATTGTCAACCTATAAAAAGAAAAATAAGTTGCTTTCATCTTCTAAAAGGAGCTTCTAATTGAGAAAAACAATTTGCTCAGTGTATCATTTTTTTTTATGAAGACCCATCTGAATTTTTGAAAAACAAAATCAGCAAATATTTTTCTTTCTGTAATCTTTTAGTAATTTTTTTGTTTTTAATAGGATACTAGTTTTTTACAAAATTATACTTACCCAAGCCATAATGTAAAATTGATTTAACTCATTCCGTAATTAATGTAACATTTCGTAAATGAGAAATTTTTATTTTTTCACTATTGAACTCTGAGAAATCATACAAATTTTTTCATTTATTTGTAATGTTATATTTTTAAGGCGATGTCTTTTCATCTTAATAATAATTATACATTTAAAATTTTTTTATTATTTTTTACAGATGGCAATTTCAGAGAATTATCAAACTATGTCTGACACTACATTTAAAGCTTTACGGCGTTTACTTCCAGTTACAAGAACCAAAATTGATTGGCAGAAAATTTTAACATTTAAAAAATTAGGAACAGAACTGAAGCATCATTGATATTAGTGCATATTGAATTAGTTTGAACTACATTGTTAAAAACAAATTATGTCTTAGGATTTATACATTTGGAAGATGTTCCTTCTGAACTTGTGTTAAAATCTTGTTTGGTATAATGTGTTATTATTGTTTAATCATGTGCTTTATGAATAGTGCCTAGAAATAGCATTTAATTCTGTTATTAAAAAAAAAAAAATTGAATCCTGTTATATGATATATTCTATATTTTTTTACTATGTTGATTAGAATTGTATTCTTTATAATTGACCATTATTTTTGTCACATTATAGTGACATAAATTTTATTTTTTATCATAATTTTGTTTTTAATTATTTTCTTTCAATTTTGGGTTTTACTTTGAATTTCTTTTATGTATTATCTAATTTCATATACACAATTGTTTAAATACGCCAATTAAAATATTTTGAGTTTTTTAATTGTGTCTTTTTACTGTTGTGTTTATTACAAACACTAATTTATATATGCTTAGTCGCACTTCAGATTAAACTTATGCATAAAGATTTAAATATTTTTTTAAATTATAAAATAGTCTTTAGTTAAGTCAGCTATTTAATTATGCGGCATTAGCAAAATACAAAAAAAAAGGAAAAGAAAACATGATGTTACTTATTGTCTTTTTCAGAAACCTTAATATCTAACTTTTAAAACTATTCTATTTTACCAATAATTTGGTAATAACTAGATTTTTAATTCTTCATGTTTTATTTTTCAGTAGTAGTTATTGTGATTTGTTTCCGAAAGTTCATATTTTGAGACATTTTTTTCAAAAAATATTATAGATGGAAACAAAATTTTTATTCTTCCCCTTTAAAAACAATTTAAATAACTTTGAGAAGCAGAATGAGCAATTTAAAAGCACTTTGAAAATAAAAAATTTAGATTTCAGAGAGGTTCACTATTTTAGTAGCTTCAATCCATTATTAATTTTATTAAATGAAGATTGATTATCATGCTAAAATTTTTTCTTATCTGAAGGATATAGGTTTTTATTCATCAATGTAACTCCAAACTAACTAACTAAATTTGCTGTTAAAGCCCCAAGCATGTTTCATTGTGAACATATCAAGACATAAGTTTTTGATGTTTTCATGGATTTGAATTTTCTAGATAAATTCAAACAAAGATAAGACATGTTTCAGAACTTATATTAATTTTAGAAAAGTGTTCTGTATTGTTTGTTTTAATGTTGCTATAAGTAAATTCAAATAAGGGATGATGTCCATTTTATTACTATTTCCCAGCATGTAACTATCAAAATTATATTTATAGTGTTAGATAAACATTAGAAATGTGCAAAAATCTACTTCTGCAGAATATCTTGCATTGATTATTAGAGCAACAAGTCACTTTTATGCTTCAGATTACTCCTCAGGGATTTTACCTGTATTCTGGTAAACACTGGATCCATGTTCCTGAGGTACCCGGGTGATCTCTTTACAACATACTTTAGTGCGGCTAAATTTTTCTAGTTAGAACCAAATCTTTTTTCATTATAACCTAGTTCATTTCTAACTTATAATAGAAAAATCATGAATTTTCATATGAGGCATGTGATTTTATTTAAAATAATAGAAATTCTAAAAGTTTGCAGTTTTATTTATTAAGATCGATTCTATAATTTCGAATTTTGTGATTCTGTATTATACTGATAATTTTCAACTTATTTTTCCAATAACCATTTTACCAATTTGTTTCAATTAACTTTTTTTTTTTTAGTTAATGACTTTAATTGTTCAAATTATTGTGCTTAGTAGATCAAGTGGATTTCAGCAGATTTGTGATCAAATTCGGATCAATGATGTATAACCTTAATAAACAGATAAATTAGCTGAGGAAAATGTGGAATTAGCCTCGGAAAGCAGCAGCTTGGAAAGATTTTAACCAAGGAAACAAAATTAATATTCATGAAGCCCCTGACCTTCAGCTTTATCTTCAAAAAATATAAAATAAATCTAACTATAAGAACAAAGTAATACAACTAATACAACAAAGTGTTATCTCTAATTCTTCTAAAAATAATATAAACTTATCCACCTAAGAAAGTGAGTAAACTCACATTTCTACCAAAAATTGTCCAAACTGAGAATATTCTTGAAATAGAAAAAGTTAATGATCACGATGACTGATAATGAGGACATGCATTCACTAAATGACTTCCAAGTTTTCAAATTTACAAAAGGTGTATATCATAGTGAAAGACTCCAGCTATGCTAAAAATCTGAAAAATCTCACTGAACTCAAGGGAAAGGATTAATTTCCATTCTGCATAAATACCAAAATAAAACTATAAAGCGCGTTGGGTTATATAATAACACCAGAGACTCCCTAGCCAAAGAGCAACTAAAGAATCTCTTCTGGTGATACAGTAGTAATTTGAAGTATGTCATATGGGGTTGCCACTCTGTCAATCTTAACGGCATTAGTCTTAAAAAGTTTGCCAGAAAATACTTTTGTGGTACTTGTACTAATTACTTAATGAAGTGATGAGAGTGATAACATAGCTAACTTAAGAAGCATAGTGAACAATCATGTTTCATTTTTCCTCTCAATTTTCCCCCTATATATATTGCTGGATACATAGATGTTAAATTTTGTGTTTGCCACATTGCAAGTAATATGTACCTATTTTAGAAATAATAAATATGACATTTACCCTTCCCTTAATTTTCAAAGTCATTATTTTCTCCAAAGGTATATCGGCCGGGATAGCCTGGTTGGTAGGGCACTGGGCCCATGTACAAGAAGTCGTGGGTTTGATCCCTTCTGGCCGAAGACTCATCGTGTAGTAAATGGTGACTGATGCACGTTAAATCTGTGGAGTCACAAAGTCCTTCATGTTCCCATTACAAATCATACCTCTGGAGGTATTGATCCAGGAGTTTTCCTTGTCTTCTGGATTGGTTCAAAATTACAAGACTATGAAGTTGAACATTAGTAGTTGTAAACCCAAAATTGGGTTGGCTGTTCAACGACGGTTATAAAAAAAAGCTTTATCAGTCCTGGACATAGTCCAGATAAACTAAAAGCTGCCTGAGGCTTGTGGAGCATCTCGTCACCTGTAGCAGAATCCAAGTAATCAGGCATTCCAGTAGCATTTTCTTCTGCGTTGTTATCTACAGCTTCACCCGTCGGGGCTAACTGTCTAATCGAGACAATCAGCAGGTTTAACATGGCCATAGTCCGGGTTTGCTTCAACTGCAGTCAGGATGATCCAGAACAGCCAGGATCTTCAAGGATGAAAAAAACATACGCTTGTGAGGAGTAGTATTTGTAATTGTGCACAATAGGGAGCGAATATAGTGAAGAGCTGACTGAACTACTTGTTTCTATTGGTCTATCCTCATATTGTCAAGTAGAATGAATCTAAATCAAGTCCAGAAGGTTAAAGAGATTTATTAAGAACCTTCAAACGTACAGGGAACAAAGTGACTGTCTTTTCGGCCTGAAACAATTGATCTTTTATGGGACTAAATTACGAAACAGGAAATGACAAATTAAAACGTTCTAGAAGATACAGAAATAATAAAGAAAAGCTTATGTTACATTTAAAGATTTTTACATTTTCTTCGAGTTCTGAGGATCGGACTCGGTATCTTTGTCTCTCCAGAACGACGACTCTAGCTTCTCAGCTACGCTGACACACGTTATAGCATCCTACTTAGAAAAACAGCGTCCTCGCTGTTTCACTCTATGGCTGTTCTGGTACGTGATCGGGTGATTGGCCCTCAATACTGCATTTCGGCTTCACATGGTTCTAATTGAAACGACGGGTTATGGTAAGGTTTTATGCTCACCACGTTGATGGTGTCTGTAGTTTTGCTCCTTGTAGATGGTGCAACGTTTTCTTTCTCGTAAGTAACATCAGATAATTTTTGCTTTATTCTGTAAGGTCCAAAATTCTTTTTTAGTAGCTTTTCGGACTACCCAGTTTTTCCAACTGGCCTAAAAATCCAAACAAGTTCACCTGGAATGATTATCTTGTAGCGATTTCCTAGAAGGGAATCGCTATAGGGTCACCAATTTAGAGGTTTCAAGGTGTAAATTAATTTCCTCTAATCACTAATTAATGAGGACTCCAATGTGTGGTGAGCAAGGATGACGATTTTTAAAACTTAACATATATTTATTAAAACGTAACAAGTAACAAGTTAGTGCGACTGCTCGCTGAGGGGATACTCACTGGAATTGTCTGGAAATCCTTAATCCCGGCCTCTCAGGGTAGGCTGAAAAGGCATAATTTGGGGGTTTGGTCTAAAAATAGATTTCCTAGAAGGGAATCGCTACAATCTGTTATAATGGTAAATGGTATTCCAAAAAAATAAGGACGAAATTTACTGATGGACAGATAGCAGCAAGACATTCACGTTCCGTTGTCGAGTAATTTCTTTCAGCCTTGTGGTCAGTACTCGAGAGGCATATGCCCCTGTCCTACAGTCTCTTTTTCTTTCTGAATTTGAACTAACTCTGATCCAATGTCATAGTCACTGGAATCTGTATGTAGCTCGGTAGAGACATTATAATCAAAAATACCTAATATTGGTTCTGACGTTAGAGCAGCCTTCAAAGTTTCAAATGAGTGATGTTGTTCTTCCATCCATATGTATTTCTCATCATTTTTAAGTATTTTCTGTAGAAGATATGCTATCGTACAAAAGTCTCTTATCAGCCTTCTGTAGCATGAGCAGAACCCAAGGGAACTTTTTATATCAAAAATTCTAGTAGGCACTGGATACATAGTGATAGCCTTAACTTTATCTGGGTCTGGCTCTACTCCTTCGGTGCTCCCGATATGACCAAGAACTCTCGAGTTTTTGAGAGCCAAAGGGACATTTCTTCGTAATTAACTGCAATACGGCAGCTTTGAGACACTCTAATGAAATCCTCAAACGATGTAAATGTTCATCAAAAGTATCTGAGAGGACTGCAATATCGTCAAGATAGCACAGACAGATTTTCTATTTTAAATGCCGAAGTAAATTATTAATCATTCTCTCAAAAGTTGCTGGGGCATTACAAAGTCCAAACGGCATCACTTTAAATACATATAACCCATCAGGAGTGATTAAAGCTCCTTTTCTCTCGATCCGCTTCATAGACTTGCGCTTGCCAATAGAAAATAAGTCCGTTGAGGAGAAGTAATCTGCATTTTTCAAACTATCTACAATGTCGTCAACCCTCGGCAGCGGAAACACATTTTTCTTCATTACTTTATTTAATCGTCGATAGTCGGCACAAAACCGCCAACTTTTTCTTGACGGGAATCACAGGCGAAGACCAGGGGCTATTAGATTTCAGAATAATGTCTCGTGCAAGCGTTTTGTCTACTTCTTCCTGCGTAAGGAGTCCCTCAGCAACAGAAACTCTGTATGGTCTTTAACTCAACGATGAATTATTTCCGGTGTAGATGTGATGTTTC